GGCGACCTAGCAGGGCTCATTCTTGGCGTAGTTGGCAGTTCTATACGCGGCGAGTGATTAGATAGCTGAGAGAGCGTAGTGTTGAAGAGGGCACAGCGATGAGAGTCGCATCAATGCTCAAATCAACGGGCAAGGAAGGGGTCCATTTCTCGGGTTCTGGGCCGTTTCTCATGGTTTCTTCCTTCTTTCGTGCACCACTCACAACTCGCAAGAGAATCTACTAAACAAATCATTGAGGGAAAAGGGTCGCTTTTATTCGAAAGATTGCTCATTTAGAAAAGTCTCAATATTTTTCAAATTGCAAATCTTCTATAATAGTTAGTTTCTAACTTAGCTTTGAAAATCTGCAAAAAGTTGATAATGAAGGAAGTTATGAATGTTTGAATGTGAAAACTCGCGTGTGCACAAAAAACGGAACAACGGGACGATTTTCAGAAGAATATACATTTGCATATGCTAAAACTTTTTAGGAAGAGAACAATTCGAAGTTTTTGAATTTGTATTCCATCTCATTGGACGGAGCTATAAGCTTTTGAAAGAGTTTTTGTCGTAACGTAATTGCTGCAAGGTTTGATCATGCTCAGCTTTACGCAAAAATTTGGAAACCTTCTATTTAATGAGTGAAATTTCATGTTGATTCGATTACCGTCCTCTGAGCTGTCTTACCACTGCCCAGCACCTCTCCATGTCGGTGACGGCCCATACACCGATGATGAGTCCTAAAGTATGTAAAAAGAAACAATAGCTATACAAGGTGTCGTGCTGATACCCTTCGGAAGAGAGGGGGTCGTAAAAATTTTGAAATCGCCGCAGCGCACGGCTGACCCTGCCTTGAACGCTGCTGCAATATTCAAAGCTTCTTGTGGGTCCTTCTTCAATGAGCTCTTCCTTCTTTGTCCAAATGAGGTCCTTTTTTCCGAATTTGTCAAACACTTCCCAGTGAAACTTGAAATTCTCTCGACGTTTATTTCTTTCCTCACAATATTTAGCACTTGATTATGTTTGAAACCTCAAATGGATGCGCTGGTCTCAGTGCTTCTTGAATACCCATGAATATTGATTGAAATGTTTTGTTTGGACTTCAGCTTCTTAGGAGGATGCCAATTCTAAGAGTAGTTACGAGTTTTCGAAATCATAAGTTTGACTAGTGCAGTGAAATGCTTCATCACGTAAGGTATCCTTTGATGGCACGACGGAGGAATTTTATAAATATTAGGAAAAGCATGGCCAAGAAAACAAGCTAGCTGCGAATGTTTATTGAAGTAGAGTCACATTACTATAAAGGTGAACTACACAGCTTCGCGTTTTAGAAGATATGTGCGTCATGAAACCTAGAGCGAGCTAGAAATGGTTTCAAGGCTTGCGTTTTCTTAGCAGGCCACACACATGGGACGCATTTTGCTCGCCACACCTTCTTTTCAAATACTGATGACTACCACTGGAAGAGAAGTAAATCAGCAAGGGTACACTCGGCATCCTCTATGTCTCTCCTTACGCTTCATACTACTTCCACCTTTCATCATACTTCCTCCTTTAAGCGCCCCACATGTCAACTTGCTCGTGGAGTGTGCCTTCATGATCGCTTTTAGCGAAAGAAGGAACGGATTCAACTCTTCAACTCCTCTCGTTGTTTATTCTTGACCAGTTTTGCTCCATCAGCTATCGCGCGCATGTCAACATAGGCTTCGGTGAAACTGGATGAGTATAGCCGGGCTATTGTATTGAGTGAACATACTGCTTTCAATGATTTGACTGATGGTTAAGGAAGTCTGATAATGAGGCCGTAACATTTCCCATAGTTTGTCGATACCAGTAACCACACACCATTTTTTGGAACTAAAAGCAAAAAAGGATAACTACTAGGTTGTAAGTTAGTTCTGGCCGTTTCCGATAGTTCAAAATTATGGCATTATTTCTGGCTAAGTTTTCGGCAGACTGCTACGAGTTGCATATCTTTAGAAAGCGCGTTTTTTGCTCTATCCAAATGCGCATAAGCTTTGCTTAAGGGACTACTCTACTTTTTAAAGCCTTGAATGCAACATGCTCACCAAGCGAATCCTCACGATTTTCTTCTTCTACCTCGAATTAGGGCAGAAAGGAGCGGAATCAGCTCATGATATAAACTATTCGTTTGGCCATGCATTTGCGGAAAAATAAGCATGAAGCGATAGTTTGGAAAGCTTGTGTAGGGATGGCGATAGCCTCGAAGTTGGCGAGGGTCGTTGGATGTCGAACTTCGGTAAAAATTACCTGAAATATTTGATGGATGCTTGAAGTATATAATTCGTGGTTTCATGGGATGGGACATGGGATAGCTTAAAAAGCACGGAAAAGTCGATAAGAGGTGTCGCGAAAAATCGCGGTTCCGTAGGGCCGCCTGCCTTTCTTCTCAATCTTTCATTCAATGAAAACGACCCGTGTTTGTCGGATTGTGAGTTGTGAATGTAGAATGGATTCTTCTCAATAACCTACGAACTTCGGGTGGGTAGTTCGATCACGACTAGGGTCAACAAAATTTCGCAAAGATGAAACTGCGCGAGAAGGTTGTTCGGCCTGTTACGCGGTCTACAGCAGGCGCAGCTTTTCGAGCACAGGCGGAGCTGTATAGTGGTACAATATTCTGCATGGTGTCGGAATATCCCAAAATCTTGACGCTTGCGCCCAACAAGGGCTGCCATAAATGGGCCGACTCTTTTCCGAAATGCACCTCAGCCGTTGACCGCAGAAGCGACCCTGCAAAAAAGAACTAGCTGAAGTACTGAACTATGTCCAAACGTCCCACTCCCTAGACCTCTTCCCTATTCACCGCCACTTTTTCAACGGTCTGGATAGCACCTTAAAGGAGAAATGCTACGAAATCTAACATGATGGTGAAACGACCTTCGCCGAGTTCATCGCCTCTAGAACTCCAGTACTTCCAGTGAACGGATTGATCAAACACATGGAATGTTCGCAAGGAAGAGTAGATTTAATTTTCTATTGCGATCGCAAATGTTGCGTTTGAGTCGAGATATGCACATTCGAACATTAATGTCCGAAACGGCCAGAATCCTTACAATCTAATACAATACTACTTGGGCTGCTTATTATCAGCCCTCAGCGTAAACATCTACCATGCTTTGGATATTGGGATGGTTTAGCGGTCGAATAACTTCTTATGCCGGTGATGAGATAGAAATACCAATAGTTATCGTATTTCCACAGACACCGACCATTTAAGAAGCTCGGGCAGATTAGCGGTCGAATGGATCACGACTACATCGCGAAGAAATGAGATGTAATAAAATTTCAGCTGACATTTGTATAGTTCCGTCCCACCTCCTAGATCACATCTCCAAAACACCGCCTCAATGCTGGGGCGGGATCCTGCCACTTCGCTCACGGGAGGATTCTCTCCATCTGCTTATGAGAGAGAGAGCTGTATGTTGAAAATAATCGCTCAGAACTTTGCGATCAACATTTCTCCTACTTTTCTTCAACACTATCAGAACGGTTACGTTGAGATCATACTCTACCATAAGGATCTATGGTAGGGGAGATCTTATGTGAGGGAGTAGGATTCCTCTAAACTATGAAATATGTATTTTTTGCTCTTACACGGTTGGCAGTTCAGAAGATACGGGACTGAGAATACTGTCTTGGGAATGTTTACGCTTATATCATGTCCTTCTTATCTCCTTCTTGCAAGTAAACCAGTTTAGCTGCGCACCCGCACTAGTCTTACGGTGGGCTTCAGTGAAATCGGACAACCAGGAGGATATTATGTCACATGGCTGAGAAAGCAATAGCAAGAAGTTTCAAAATAGATGGAGTTCAAAAGTTGTGCAAACTAACTGAAGGTTATCGCACAGTGCGCGCAGTAGGATGCGGAATGAAAATGGTACTAATGTATGACTTCGTGAACTTTTGGCATTGATATCGATATTGCGTATTTGTATTTCTTGTGTTGTGTAATTAAGCGGTTTAAGAAAGAATTTTGCTATTACCATCGCTGAATGAAATATGACCGAATTTGGTGTCTATCCCTAACGGGAATCCACTCTTGGCTCAACTCCATAAATTTCACCGGCTCAATTACTGTCAATCTCTCAGTTGAAGAATTAGATATGGAACATTACCACTTATTAAATACCTGGTTTATTTCGACTGAATGCGCACTCAGCTGTTGTTACTGTTATCAATATAGTTTTGGCTCATTACCACATCCTTTTACCAGCTCAACGGTTTTTTGTGATGACTGCAGCAGAATGAGACATTCTGTTTTAGACCCATTAATGTCACGTCGGCGGCTTCGTCCACTGCTATGCCAAATTGATGCGAGCCAAAGTATTTACATCGCCGCTACGATTGTATAGCCATTCTGTTGGCACTCACTGTTTGTGTTCCTTAGATCTCCATACCATATGTAAGAGTCAAGGTTCTATGTACTATTACCTCGATAGCCGCAAAATACCGTGGGTGTTCACTCTGTCGCCTCTTATCCCTCTCTTGCAATCAACTTTTCGCTCTCTGTTCGGATCCCACAAACACAAGGTGGCTGATCTGCAACACGGAAAACGACATTAAGTGTCACATGGGCGTTCCGACTTCCATTATGAGCTCTAATCAGAAGTCATCAGTTCTGCTCAACAACCATCAGGGTTTTTGTAAAGCCCCATTTATCCTGAATTTTGAGGCTCTGGGCTCAAAGATGTGAAGTTATGAATTCCTGGTTAGACGACACACTCAACCGCTTGGTGTATTACATAGAGTAGGATGCATTTTTCTCCGCTGGGCCTGACCTCATAATTTCCAGCTCCTATCGCCTAGGATCACAGCAAAATCCTTGGAGTATTGGTCAATCCCGTGTATTTAGATTCACTTTAGAGTGTTCCAGCCATATTCTTTCTATTTTCATATTATTCTCGTAATAAATTGTAGCTAAGCCGGATTAGAAATATGCGTGTATATATTTGATTGTTTCTAAGCAACCATGATTTGGTTAATCCTGATAGTTTCAGATTCCAAAATTGAACATTTCTATAAAAGGATTGATAACTCTCAGCGAAAACACTGCTGACAATGAAGGAATGAAAATTGCATACAAGGTAACTGAGTCGCCAATGATATTCTGACGGAACATAAATTGAACTCGTGCCTTGTTTTTCAGTAGTATTCGAAAAGTAAAGAGCACTAGTGAGACAGACTACTGTATTGAAAATTGAAGAAAAAGAGCAAAGTAAAACGGCACGGGTGTAGTGATCTATGTTGGTAAAGATATGCGTGCTAATTAGGGAGGGATGTTGAGTCGAAGTGGGCATTTGGATAAGATGTACAAATCCTGATGCATTCTAAGACTCTGGTTTCAAATCTATTTTCCAAATCTGCTGAACACCTCTCTAAAGGGAGTTACAGGGGTGTTCAGACGGACCACAGCTACTTGATGAAACACTGATCGATAGAAGTTGGTTGCATCGATTGCTCCGCGCAGTTATGTTGTCTGCTGCATTGTACAAGGTGGAGGGTTCAAGTCTCCGCACTGGCGACTTCTCCGAATTTCTTCGGAATAATCTTTCGCCTTTTCAATGATTGAACCACGAATCTTTCTGAACTCCGACTTTATTTTTGATGGGCTTTATTTACATTCGCAGTTCAAGTACGTTTGTGGTAGTCTATTGCAAAATGATCCATGCACAGGAGATTCCTCTAATGAGAACATCTAAAGTTAGAGATCGTTACAACATATGAAGACACAGTTACTTACCGAATTGGATGGGAAAACACTGGAACGGAGTTTCAAATTCACCGTGTGTCATCTACCTGTTCATCGTGGATGTTTAATCCTGCCGCGTACATGAGTAGAAGTTATACGAGTATCTGGGGGCAAGCCCCATGGATATATCAGTCATTAAGTTTCTGCTCCCTTCATAGTTAGTGTCTTGATAATGTCACAGGTCCAAAAACCTTCAACAACTGCGACAGCGCGACCTTCGGACATGACATGATTCTGCAGGACAAGAGCAGTGGTTTTCTGGTATTCTGGGTTTTGCCAGGACTGCTAGGTTGAAGGTAGACCCTTTTAAATGCAACTCCACCTTGCAGACAACTTCTTGTGCGCTCGAGTTGAATTGCGTCATTGAAAAAGTGATCCCATATGTGTCCGTCATTCGATTGCAGAGTGGCAAGAATAGACAAAATTATAAGGAAGAGGAGATGGGAAAGTCTGCGAAGCTGGAAAAAGAATTGAAGAGACCAGAATATTTCGTGACTCATCCGTTAGAAAGGCTTAAGGGCGGCGAAAGGCGGCATTCCTTCGTAAACATAAACTATTGGATATAGGTAGAAAGCAGGACACTTGCGCGACACTGGTTCCCAAATCGGGATTTCCCGATAAAATTCAAAAAACTCGCCAGCACGAGGATTCAAACCATAATCTTGTGCACATGGAGCAGGCCACATTCCTGTTGAGTCATCGACGCTATTTCTGTCGATCGCTATTGTTTATCAAAATAGCTCAGAGGTGGATCTTCTAAACAACCCTGTAAGATTCAAAATCAGCGTCTCCGTCTGTGCCAGCATTTGTACATCTTATTTCAAATGGTTCCCTCCACCCATTATCGTTCCTAATTATCGTACAGCACTCAGCTCAGGATTAAGCTGGAACATCTGAAGTACTAATCATCAAATATCGAAACTCTGACTCGACTTTCACGCGCTACCTGTCGAAATGCAGGTACCCACTCCGTGGAAAACCAGCAGGACCGTGTTGCTGTACAAGAAGGGAGACCTGGACGACATTGGCAACTATCGCCCAATCTGCCTGCTGTCTGTAATCTACAAGCTATTCACTCGAGTCATCCTTAACAGGATCGGCAGAATACTAGATGAAGGACAGCCATGCGAGCAAGCAGGGTTTCGAAGAGGGTTCAGCACGATCGACCATATCCACACGGTTACAAGACTCATTGAAGTTTCACGAGAGTACAAGATGCCGCTTTGTCTCACGTTCATCGACTTGAAGAAGGCCTTCGACTCTGTGGAGACAGAAGCGGTCATTGGAGCCCTCCACAATCAGGTTCGTACTTAAAACATGGACTAGGATTGTTTCCTAGCTCCATAGAATTTAGACGATCGGGGTATCACCTACAAAGTAATCATCGTCTACGTGCAATAGGGGTTCGACACGTTGATGCCACTGCGCTCAAACTCATTCAGCGCCGCTCTCGAGAACGTCATGCGTCAACTGGAATGGGAAGACATGGGAGTGAAGGTCGACGGCCGGCAACTACACCACCTTCGTTTTGCTGACGACATCGTTCTTATAACGCCGAACATCGAGCAAGCGGAGCGAATGCTGGCTGATTCTGACTGCACCTGCAGTGAGCTCGTTTTAGTGTCGGGCGGAAACGACGTTCATGACGAAGAGTTTGGTTCCTTGTGCCATTCACCCCTAATGGAAGGACATCTTGATTTTTCCCATGTTTCTGTGTCAACATGATAAGCAGACAACTACAGCAGAGCAGGAGCGGACGCCTGGCATGAAGGGCGCAAAAGAACATCGAGAGGAGTAGTGAAGAAGACGAAGAACATCCGGCTCCGTGCCCACCTCTTCGATTCCGCTGTCCTTCCTGCCCTAACCTACGCCTCAGAGACTTGGACTCTGCGCAGGCAGGACGAGCATGCGGTCAGCGTTATCCAACGCGCTGTCGAGAGGACGATGCGAGAAGGTTCCCTGCACGATCAACTGCGAAGGGGAGTCGGAAATTCCAAACTACCTTCACATTCGGAGGGACTGTCGTTTTCGCCAAGGAATTGAACATCAGATGGTCAGGACACATTATGCATTATGACCGTTGGACCAGAGCGGTTACCGACTGGATCCCTCGGGACGTCAAACGAACACCTGGACGACCGCCGGCCCGATGGTCAGACTTCTTCACGAAAGCTCTGAACGAAAGGAATGAAGGACTCGTGTCCCTCGAGCGAAGGGTCCACTGGACAACTCTTGCACGCGACAGGGACGAATGGAAGACGTTGCTCGCACACGCTCGAACAATTTCGCGATTAACGGACATGTGATACAGGTGAGGCGCATTGAACAGCATACAGAATGGAGTGACCGAGATCGAAGTAACAATGTCATTCCAATTGACTCAATTCTGACAGGGTAAAGAGTATAGAACGCGCCTTGTCTGGTTAATAGGATTAGAAAGACGTAGGAATCATCATAAATAAGGTATAAAAATAATCACATCACAGGAAATAATAGCGGAAATAAACACGAGGGATAGCATGTGTAAACAATTATCCCGTTATAACAAACAATGGCTGCAAAATGTGTGGACCATATCGCTCCCCGTCACCTTTTCCGTTTTCCTGAATTTATTTGAGCTGAAATCGATTTCTCCCTTTTTCGAGAGAAAGGACTTCACGATCGGCAAAGCGATCTTATAGGGAGATTCAGGAAATAGTTTTGCTGTGGACAAAAAAAAACTAGTAGAGATATTGCTTGGACTCAAAGAAAGAGGAACCAATACTCGTGCTGGCACAATGCCATCGCATAGGGGGGTCTAGTTGGGTAATAGGGCAACCCGGCTGGGGCCAATCCTGCGTATTCCTGCTATGAAGAGCGAAGCATACGCTCCAGAACCACCACCTAGAATTCTGAAAAGAATAATTGGGAAAATTTCGGTTAATTTAAATAGGCTGCGTCAGCTCTCAGAGCTTACCTTGCAGACCCGGCATTTTTAGAGTTCCAAAATTTCCACTTCGGAATCATCATTAACATATTTTCCTTTAATAGGCCCATGCAAAGTACTTAGCGAAACATAAAGACGCATGGAAAACCGAGGCGGTGGATGGCTTCACTCCGGATCAACTGTTCTTTCTCGGCTGTGCATCGGTATGAACTAGAACGCTTTTCTCATGAGCACTCTTTTGTCATGACTTCGTCACAACAAATTAGTGCTCCTGGCATTGATACACAAAAATTTGTCAGACTACTTTTTTTTGAAAGGCACAGAAAAGCGACAGTATCAATATTCGAATTGTTTGACTGGTCGTTATTGCCGACATGAAAGTGTTGATGCTGTCGAGGGTCAAAATGAGCTCTAGCCCGTACTACTATGTGGGCACGTTACTATTCTCTCACTCATTACACGCCCACACTTGAGAAGCGTTTTGTAAACATTTGGTACTCCATCTATGTAGACAAAAAATATTCGGAAAAGAAACAAAGGTACTTGTAGAATTTTTTAAACCTTCTCGTGTTCTTTGATACTTATCGTCCTGAGAAGCCATTTGAGTTTAAAATGCTCGCTAGATGGATTTGCCGCGCGGTTTGGATTTACCGGCTTCCTTCATAGTCCGATTTTGATACGAGCCTGACACCTGAACTTGACTTGAAGTGAACTTGAGTCAGAAGAAGGTACTCGCAAAACTTGATGACACGAACAACTTAAAACTTGTATTAACTTGAGTTGAATAAAACTTGTGGCAAGACTGCCAAACTGCGATAGATAGGTAGACTGCTTCTCATTGCACTGGCTGGCCTTTTATAGCGGCGTGGATCTTTGGTAGATCATCAGAGCGGTCAATCATGGCTGAACGCTGCGCAGCTCCCAACGAAACTAAACGAAACGCACTCGATATGAGTAAAAAAATCAATAAACCAAGCAATTTTATAGGAAAGGGCAGACAGGGGTTGGAAATATTGTGGAGCTGATCGAAACTGCACTCGGCACAACCTTTTAAGGGAATATTCTGTTTTTCGACTGCTTATTAGCTCCCAATAACGATGAAAATAGTGAAGTCCAATAAATCCAGACTTAGCTTGTGAGCAGATCACGTGTCCATCGCCGGAAAAGAATAAATTTCGATCTCGAAGGAGTAGATCATTGTCCATGTGCTGGACCATCTCTTCTTGATAGGCATTGACATTGATTTTTGACATGTTGACGACATCGCGCGTTTTGTGCTTTTGCACCGCGTGGGACAAGAGCGATTTTGCGAGCGCAGCCGCCGCACACCAAATCCATGGATTTTAAGTTGTAAATCCGCAATACTTAGATGCGATGAAATGTTTTCAATGATGTTCGATCTGTCTAGCTTATCAGGAGTTACAGTAATGGAAGTTTGACCGAAATGACGTGTTAAGGCCATGAAAAGGGAAATTTTACTTAATTTCCCTTTAGTGGTTCCAAAATTAATTTGGACGTGGTTGTTTCAGTAAAAACACATATCTTCCCATACGAATAGGCTTGTGTTCGCTTCCATTATTTCTTTTTATCAATACCAGTTTAGCTCCGCCCGCTACCGCGCGCATGACAGGAAGCCTTTGATAGAACTGACAATCGGTGAAGCTTTGGTTTCACCGCTTAACTATAGCTGCTTCGTTAAATTACTGTCCGTTGCATAGGCTGCCCATCTTGGCTGTATCTCACTGTTTGATAAGCGCAGTGAAGTGCACAGCTAAAGTGATGATGTAAACAACCACTATGCGTCGAGTATCGAGGTAATTTAGCGGTCGAATATCTCAAAACGGAATGCCCAGTATTCATTATCATATTTATTCGAGCATCCCATTCATCCTCAAGAACTCTAGAAGGTGTAGCGGTCGAAAGGTGTTTGAGTTTACAATTACAACGCTAATGAAATGATATTGAAATGAAATGCATTATCTGCAATCTGGTTTCGAGTGATCTCTACGTTCGTACGCATATCGTTACTATCAGTCCTCATCAGTCGTTATCACTTTTTGACCCCCACCAAATATGTTCCCGTCCCACCCCTATATCATGTCCCAAAATCAGCTCCTGACGACTGCTGCGACGCGCTATGAATTTCGTGACACACAAACAGACAGACATTGCGCTTTATATATAGTGAGGATGTTTACGTCATTGAAAAGAAACGAGGAATGAATCGAACAGACATATCCGTAAGGTCTGGAAAACGTCTGCCAAACTAAAGAATATTTGGCCTTTCTGTGAGCCATGTGGTTTTTAAGTATGCTAATGTATGACCTATAGAATGAGTACAAAGACCTTAGGAATAAGTCGCACAAGCGCAAGAAAAAGGGATGACTTGGGTGGGACGCGTTACCGCGTCACGCTGTCGTCAACGTGTTAACGGTTTTTTGGGTAAAAATAAATTAAGGCCTGCCGAAAGTGCAATGCAGCCTCAATCAATCAAACTTTCAGGGACGGGATCCTTAGCATATTAGGGCATTTTTCATTTACATCCTAGAAGGAAGCTGATTTAGAAAGGTGCAGGTGTTTCTAAGATTTTTCGGCCGCCTAAAACATGAACTTTTTGGTGTGAAACTACAGGAAGTTTGAGGATAACTGCTGCCTGAGGATAACTCGGAAACTGAATTCCGTTATTCCTTATATTTTTTCTTGAGATCTTGCTTTTCATGAAGACAGGAAATTCTATGGAGGGTGGATGACCTCTAACTCTATACTTGATTCAATATATCACACATCCTGTGAACATTCCGTTCAAAATTTTGCGCGTGTTTCACGCTTTGAGAACGTCTCAGCTCGTGCAGAAATGCTCGCGCTCTGACTCAGATTCGCTTCTTTACACGATTCAGACCCATAAAAGCACTTGGGGCAGGTTGAAAATTAGTCGAGGACTTTTCGAGAATTTTTGCTTGTTCATCAACGCTCTTCGCGCGAAGATTCAATCAAGACACCTTTTTTCACGCAGTGCAGGGCCATCTATTCATCTTGTATAGAAGTGCCTCACTGTCAGCGAGTAGTTTAGAACTGCGTTCAATGGTTGCGTACGGCATGCTCTTACTCTCAACAATAGAAAGTCGATAGAGATACGGAGCAATTCATTCTTCTTGCTGCGGCGCCCGTGGACGGTCCTATTTGGCCGGCTCTGTATGCGGTCGTGACTTTTTTCTTTTCAACAGCTTTACTATTTCTAATTTAGTGCAGTTCAATACTGTTTGACAAGTACTATAGTGTGTCTTAGCTCCGTCCCTCTCGAAGCAGTTATTCCGAGAATTTTGCTTTTCTTTTTGTTCAGTGGGCTGTAACTTGGGTGACCCCGTTGCCGATATAGTCGAATTGATTGGTTAATGATCATTGATTTCTTTTTTTGACTATGCCTGCTAGACGCCAGCGCCATAAGCGAGAAGACTCCGTCAGTGATTCTATTGAAACTTCTTCAGTCAAGCAGCCAGATTTCGAGGTAGGAGTCGGATATATCGCACAAAGTGACTACTCTCAATTATCAGCACAGGACTTATAGCAGGCTATTTCGGGGAACAACGATCCGCTTATTGACAGGACGCTCCAGGCTTTAGCCTCCAAAATTCCTGAAAAAGTAACTGATGGAATTGAGGCGGAAAAAGCGCTCGAGTCTTATAATTGCATGGCTGCCAGAAGCATCTCCCAAATTGCGTCAGTCAGCAAAGCAAGCCGGGTTCGAGGCTAAAGTTGGTGAACTGTTGGATGTACGGGGTCGAGTGTAGACCGTTATAAACATATCAATTGGGTAAAGTTGCTGATAAGCGCCCTTATGTAGTTAAGTTGGTTTTGCCGTCTAAGTCTCACTGGGTATCTGCACTGTCTAATTCGTATCGTCTGCGCAATTCTAGTTTCAACAAAGTCTACATACGGAAAAGTATGACAGCCGCTGAACGAAAGGTGGACATGAGCTCAGCCAGGAATGCAAAACTCAGGACGATCAGGCTAATAGTCGCATTTTGGTGATACACCGGGATGAGCTAAAGCCAGCCCAAGACCTGCCACCGCGCGCCTCGGGAAACGACTGATGTGTCATGGTTCCCTTCTGGGTATTAGGTGCATGCTGTTCAACTCTCGCAGCCTTTTGAATAAAAGGCACCACCTTCACCTTTTGTTGAGCTCTTGTAAGCCTGACTTGATGTTCATAACAGAAACATGGCTATCGTCCAGAACTACTAATTCGGAAATTGTCGCCGGTCTCCCCTATTATCTATTCAGATCTGATCGCAGGTGCTCCAAAGGCGGAGGTGTGCGTTGTTTGGCTAAGTATGGTTCGAACCTTTTTCCAGTTGCTACCCCGCCTAAAATTAAATCCGAAATTTTCTGTTTCATAGCTCTGACTCCACATTCTCTGAATCTGTTAGAATAATCCTAGTTTATCGACCACCATGCTCCTCCGCATCTGATGATGAAACACTTATCGATAAAGTACTGGATTTCATCCTTTCTACCAGGCACATCACTATGTTAAGTGAATTCAATCATGATGTTGATCGGAGCAATGTCACTGCCAAGAATGCACAATCGTCGAAATTTTTTGAATTTTTCAAATCTTGGTCTTATTCAGCGGTCTTATTCAGCATGTCAAAGAACCAACTCTTGGCGATTCAATACTAGATCTTATTGCTTGTTTTTCTTCTGCCATACAGGTTGTTACGATGGAACTATTTATTCGGTCGACGTTTCGAACAACTCGTCGTCTTCAGGACCTGAAGTCGGTTGGAAGTTTTAGCTTGTAATTTACCCGGTCAAGCCCCACAGTACTACTCTACTACTCAAGAGTGACAAGTAGAGGCAAGATTCATTCAAGGAAACCAACCTTGCAGTTCCACCAGCGCCACTCCACCCAAAGTCGTCAATAGATGCGGAAAAATGAGACACACATGACAGTGAAGCGTCATACGTGCCATATGTGAATATCTCACATTCCACATAAAGGAATGAAAGGCAGGAATTCATTTGTAATGGCAATGCATTCATTCCGGTTATTTAACTTTGGATTACGAGCGCGGATATAGAACGCTTCCAACATCTTTCTAGCACCAACGTCATCCTCGCGGGCGAGGATTCTGCACTCAATATTAAAATCATTGCCCTGGTGATCTTCTAACCGGTGCTTTCCAAGTGGAGTAATCAGGTTCCCTCGCCTTTTTCCTGTAAGATGTTCTTTAACGCGTATCGCTAACATTCTGCCCGTCTCTCCGATGTAAACTTCGTTACAGGTTAAGCACTGGAGTTGGTATACTGTCCCTCGTTGTGCACAGTCTCCATGCCTTCCATACGGACAAATTACGCAGTCGTCGCCGTGCATTATTTAACAGGGCGACACTATCAAAAACGCAATCATTCCCGCATAGGCTTATACGACGAGCATGCACGGGTATCAATATACCCGTATCAATATACCAGGGGAAAATATCAAACGACAATTAATCCGCAATAGGCTATACGACCGAGCATGCACGGCCGACGACTGCGTAATTTGTCCGTATGGAAGGCATGGAGACTGTGCACAACGAGGGACAGTATACCAACTCCAGTGCTTAACCTGTAACGAAGTTTACATCGGAGAGACGGGCAGAATGTTAGCGATACGCGTTAAAGAACATCTTACAGGAAAAAGGCGAGGGAACCTGATTACTCCACTTGGAAAGCACCGGTTAGAAGATCACCAGGGCAATGATTTTAATATTGAGTGCAGAATCCTCGCCCGCGAGGATGACGTTGGTGCTAGAAAGATGTTGGAAGCGTTCTATATCCGCGCTCGTAATCCAAAGTTAAATAACCGGAATGAATGCATTGCCATTACAAATGAATTCCTGCCTTTCATTTTATTTTACTCTTCCACCCAAGCTCGCAGTTAGGAGCACAATGTGGTGTTCTGCTTGCGCCTCTTCCTTTCCTTTTGCCTTGCGTTACTGCGTGTAACCTTCCTGCGCTTACAATTCTATAATATCGGCTGCGCGGCGGATATAGCCGACTGGTGCAGGGATGTACACGGCGGGCTTCTGATATGCGTTCTCAGTACTCACGTTGGTTTCTTACTGTGTGCTCTGAATGGTTGCTGACCCTATCTTTTTAGTTTGACTTCGGCGCAATGCTTTTAGAATGCACAAATTCTCCTATTACCTTTACGTTGATTACCGGAACCACTCGCGTATAGGCCCACTTACACTTCTTGATTCTTGGGTTGCTTTCGTTCCGTTGATCTTCTTCCTTTGCTTGTTTCGTGTTCATGTTTTCTTTTATTAATTTCGATTTTTACGATTAGATGATTAGCTGCTCTCTCCCCTACATGTACCTAGTGTTCCTGTTTTCTTGAGGAGAACAATTGAATCATGGCCATAATAGTTTTTTTTCTCCGTTCTTATTATGATTTCTGATCCTGTTTCCAATGTCATATGAACACGTTCCCCTCTGACGTCCTTATACGCACAAAATTTGTTGCGCGGTCTTTTGAGCGCACGAGATAAATAAAGATATATAAAAAAACAGAGTGCTTCAGTCCTATTTAAATGAAGCCACACATCAATTGCTCCTGCTTCAGCAACACAACCACCGTTGATGTGGAAATCGTGACTTCTGAGGGCGCAGAGCACTCTACGAAGTCTTCTCAAGTAGGTCTGGATCACCAAGCTCTTCCTCTTTCGGTTGACTCGATAGCGGAAGTGGCAGATGGTAGACTGTCGCGTGAAAGCCTGCGGAGTGAACGACAGCGTATGAAAATGAATGTTCATAGGGCTTGGAGGGATCTTCGCTGGACCTTTCTTCGAAATTCGTTATTGACGGTTGCTTGGAATTAGGTGACTGCAGGTTTTAAGCAGCTTTGAGGGAACTGTCCATCAACTAGTCGATCCATCACCATCTTCTGAAAGCCTGTCCGATTGCAGCGGAATCGGTGCTGGAATCCTTGGTTCGACGCATATGAGCCATTGACGCTTCCAGATGTGGTTTACGTGAGGAACCCTTACAGTCCCATCAAGCAATCGGCTCAGACAGGAGACAGTCCTTGAATCAAAACCATTCATGCAAAACTGGAGGCTTCTTGAGGCAGAATCACAAAATTCCCTTTTGCCATAGTTCCCCTTCTTTTCGAAGAGATATTGAGGAATGGTTATTGTGTCCTCATAACTTTGGAGAGGCGTTTCAGTCCCAGCGCACTGCTCTGGAGACTGCTTTTCAAACTCAGAGGAGGCACTCGTAACTCACAATCAGTAGAGCACGCCAACATAACTTGTGCTTATTTTCTCGCGCTTCTGGACATCAGCATACAAGCGTTCCCATTCACATTGAAGACACACAGGAGTTTCACCGCAAAACGTAGCATCCCTGCCGCATCGCTTCCTTCGGCGCGTTTTCTGGTTGTAGGATCAGGAGCAATTAAACATGCCTTCAGTCAAAAACGATTTTGCCAGCCATGATCGTTGCAAATTATGACGGTAGAGGTGCTCAGAAGAGAGCCCTGACTAGGATTTACATAAATTTTACAATGACTGTTCGGGAATTATCCCCAACGATTCGACAAGATACATTTGAAAATGACTGAACATTTTCGAGGCAGCCCAATACATTAATAATAATATAAAAGATCAAAGAACTATGAAAAGCTTGACAGAACATAGTGGAATGTAAGGCTCCAATAGCGATAATACGGATACATTACACTCACCTCATTTGCAGTTTTTTTTCAAGAGTTAGATTTCTCATTTCTTGTGTGTATTCGAAACAATTCATGCGCTGCATTAACATTTTAAGATATGTAGCAATATATAAGGATGAAGTGTTTAGATTTTTTGCCGCAAGACTGGAGATTTCAATGCGCTGGTGTTTCAGTATAGCGGATACTTACCTGATGATTTTAGGTGTGTTGCGTGTCTGCAAGATAAGCTTTGAAACATGTTTGCCATTCGTTGTGAAACTAGTTTGCTATTCGAGCAGAAAAACTTTGAAAAAACGAAACATCGTTTTTCCTATTCCGAGTCTTTCTGTAAAATTTATAAATCTAAATAAAACATGATTTCAGAGTGAACGGATTTGTTTCTAACCATCCCGCCTTTGCTAGCGCCTTCCACTGCTCATCGACGTCGAAGATGAATCCAAAGAAAAGGTGCTCCATATGGTGACAATAGCCTTGCTAGATTTTGTGATAAGCTCGAAGATTTGACAAAACTGTGTTTGATAATTTTTCTCTGTATTGTAGTATGCCACAGTTATTGATGGCAATGTTTAATCCTCCATAATGAAGCAACTTTGCAATCATTTGACGCCGAACCTGATTTTCGTAGGGCATTGTCACAAACTTATGTTCCCATCTTCAAATGATGAGCACTGAACGATGGATATCAATGAGAATCAACAGCAACATAATAAAATCACAACCTGTGTTTAAATTCACCAATTCTTCAAGGTTCTCTTCAGTCCTATGCTATCTTGTTTACAATTTTTTCCGAAATGCAGAATGGGTATGGAATAGAAAGTACCGAGGAATATTCCAAGAATTTCAACGATGTTAGCCCTAAGGAAGCGATTGCGCTAGCTTCGGGGTGGAGCTGTACAAGCATAATCAACCGAAAGACTCGAGATAACAGCTGAGCTGGGCGAGCACAACCCCATTGATTATATGTGGTAATAAGATAGAGAGATACCGCTGCATGGAATGACGTGCACTCTAGAATGGAAATCGACGATAACTTTAACGGTATCATGTCAAGTACTACGCTGTCATTGCACCCTTCCACCTATGATGCACCAGTTTAGCTCCGCACGCAACCGCGCGCATCACATGGTAGGCTTTAGTGAAACTGGACAACTTGCTGAATATTAGGTCACGTGGCTGAGAAACTAACAGTAAGATGTTTGGAAGATGTGTCACATGAATTTCAAAGGCTGTCCAATTTTGCTGAAGATTGTCGCGTAATGCGCGCAGTAGCATGCGGAATGAAAATGGTACTTATCATGACTTCGTAAACATTTAGCATTGATATCGAGCTCGGGTGATTTAGCGGTTTATAGAATTTCCACAATTGAAGAACCGGTGTGTAAGTGAAATATTAGGTCGGTCCATAAGTCTTGCAACAAACTACATTTAATGCTATAGAATTTTAGGGAGAACTCCTGAAAATCCGCAACATATTTCCTGACGTAGCATCAACCTTTGCAATTTCAGCCAACGGTCCAGCTCGTTGTCTGCTTACTTATTATGGATATTACACCGATTTCGCGAGAGGGCTCTCGGTGCCCTTAATTTTTACGAGTACTGCTTGGAATGTTCCGCAAGTCATGCTAGACCAAGGATTGGCCAGAAGATAGGCGAGGGCACGCTCTCTCAAACCACAGTGCAACGGCGCTTCACTCTGCTCAGCGTTGACTTTTTTATTTGAAAATAACCCACACTCCAACCACCCTGTGACTGACAATCACGATGCTCTATCTGACGCTGTTGAAAAGGGATCTGGATAGAGTATCGATCATTTGCTAGAGCGATTCCGATGCGACAAGACAGCACTGTGGCATCTCCAAAGACTTGTGAAGATCCGAAAATGTAGAGTTTGGTCCCCACGTGCCTTGAGCCCGATTCAGCTCCAAACACGATCTGACACCGTTATGTTCAAGTCGACTTACTAGGGATTCTACGATTGACCATCCATCACATTTGCCGAAGATGAGGAGTGGGTACAGTTTACTAACAAATGAACAAGCGGCGGTAGTCCAGCTCAAACGCTTCGGGAGATCTTATTGCTTAAGTTCAACCTCGTCCAAGTAGGGCCTTCTCGGATTTTTGGTGGAACACGGGAGGAGTTAAGCTCTGGAAACCCCTACGTGTAGATGTCGCAGTCAACGCGAAAGTCAACTATCCACAGCTCGAATGCAACGCTTTTAATACGAAAGAAAAACAAGGCAAAGTTTGCTTTTGTATGACACCGTTGAAAAACCTCTTGCTAAGAAAATTCAGGAAAATTTTGAGACTCTGGGACGGAGAGTTCTTCCGTATCCACGTTATAGCCCTGACCTCGTGCCAAATAATGCCCTTCTGCTCCCCTCTCCAAACCATCTCCTAGAGAAGAAAGCTCATCCTAACTATGATGATGTCAAAATCGACATCTGATCTTTCTTCGATCAGAATTCAGTAGAGTCCTACAAGGGAGGCATCGAGCAGCTACTAGTGTGTTGGCAATAGGTTGTAGATATTGATGGAGGGTAGCATGCCGGATGAATGGAACAAAAAGATAATGAAAATATTAAATTCAAAATTCGGCCAGTTTGTTGCAAGACTTATGGACCGACCTAATATAACCAATCAATCGGCATCTAATCATGATGGAGATTGATAAATATGATGGAAATTCGCTATTGGTCCAAGTCCAGATAGTTGAGCAGCTCAACTTTCTTTGCTTCTTTAGATGAAAGGGTAGGAATGGAACATATTCACGTGCTAGGGACCTGGTTTAGTTCAACTGAGTGCACGCTCAATTGTCGCTACTTTTATCAGTACAGTTGCCGCTCATACCACTTTCTGTCACCTACATTCAACCCTCGCCACCTTGATCGCTTGCCAGTGATAATTGCAACGAAGTTGGAGAGACCTGCATTCAAACGCTCTTATCATTCCTTGTCATTTGTTATCAGTTCATACTGTTCGCAATCGGTGTCCCGGTCCCAACCTCCAGGCAACGTGTAGGAGCTAATATTTACTGTCACCACGAAGGCTGCAACGAAATTAGCAGTACTCAAAATCCTAACTTCCTTATCAACCGTTATCGCTTGTTATCACTTTTGATCACCCACTATCCGTGTTCCCGTCCCATCCCCTATACCACATGTGAGAGCCAAGGTTCCAATGTAACCGCAAGGGCCGCAACGAAACTGGTGGTATCCACACTTTGACGCCCCTTATCAGTTCTTATCAGTTGCTACCACATTCGTTCACTCAACTTCTTGGTCCCCGCCTCATCCCACATATCATACATAAGTGCAAACTCTCCACTGTCAACGCGAACGGTGCAACGAAATTGGTGACATCAACATTTCGACGTCCGTTATCAGCTCCTATCAGTAGTTATCACTTCCCGCCACCCGTCATCAGTGTTTCACCCCGGCCCCTATATATCCTAGAAGTTTGAGCGCTCTGGGTCCAAAGGGGGTGAAGTTATGAATTTCCGGTCAGACACACACACACACACCACACATACAACCGCTTAGCCGATTATATATAGTAGAATAATTGGTTAATGCGATTTGGATTGGATTTCAGCGCCTCATCACACCATTGCTAAAACGCCAGTGGTCCTGAAATGTCAAACTATCGCTCACACTGTTCATGTCCTCTACCCAATTTACTTTGTGAGTTTCCCACTGGTATCCACAATTTAACCTGACCACTCCCTAAAGTTCGCTTACCCTTCTAAATACAAGGTTTTCGAAGATTAAAACGCAATTATGAAACACTGCTGTCCGCCAGTGGAGTCGCAAGTTTCCGCTGAGCGTTGCCTGCAAAAACCCGTCTCGAACTCTACAGGGGCCAAAAAAGAGACACTTCACAATCACACTTTGCTAAAATCAAATCGATTCCCTCCATTACTATTGAAGAGCACATTCTAAACTACCTAAAAGTTGCATGATAGCCTTTTACACCGACGTCATCAGAAGATTTCCCTACGGAAACCTGGTTCTCGGTACAAGCTCAACGAGGGTCTTCGAGATACCATAGACCATTACGACGTCTCTAAATGGCTGGTCAAAGCGGTTTTGCACGTCCGAGCTTAATGCTCTTCTCAGGAAGCCACTCACACTCACCCCGCTCAATCGGAACCTAAAAATTATGTATAAGCTTGCCAGGCGCACGTATATAGCAAAGTCTCGCTGAAGCTCGACAGGTGACGCAGCAGGAGTCATATTCTGAAGACAGTGGGTGCAGTAGAGGAAAGCCCGCTCCTGTTTACGGGAAACACCTGAGGAATATCCCCGTGAAAGTTTCATTAACATCGGCTTCTTGTGCGACGAAGAGTTCGATGATGTGCGCCAATGGCGAAGTGTCTCCCCTTTTTTGGCCACCCCTGTTCTTCAGGCTGAGTCTTTCCTCCATTCTGCCGCAGGCGTAACCGCCTGAAGTCGCGTGAATACCACTATAATTCTGAAATACTCCGCTGTTCACTCATGGTACTGTTACAATCTATTGAGAGCAAAATTTCAAATTAGTCACCATTATTTTGCCCTCTTGGAATCTGACCAAGGTTTTTGATGGAATTAAGCACTGCATTCAAACGTTGCTCGGTACGAACAGAACAGCTCAAAGGAAGTGCGATTACGATAAGGAATTTTCGCATCGGGGAGAACCTGCGCCACACGGAGCAATTACTTGGCTGCCAAGGAAGCGATGTGTGGTCCTCCCACGGCGAAAGGTGCTGTGGTTGCTGAGCAGGACCCGCGTGACGCCCCGCCCCCAGTGACGTGACGCCCACTAGTTTTGTTGATGATCTGGATGGACTGTTTGCTGTTGGCTTTTCATTTTGGATGATCATTTCCCTTCTAGCGGCTGTATCTTCCAACTTGCCCACGTATTGCCTTATCAATCAAAACACTATGCTTGTTGGCATGATGGCGGCTATCGGGGTTAACACGTCCGAACAACGTCGTTCTTTACCGTCGCTCATCCATGGTCGAAAATGAAAGGGCAATCAAAGGGGTACTATTTTGCTTATTTTTGACGGATTTCTTTGCTTTTTTCGCCATTGGCGTACTATTGAGACCCTCACGTCCCCTCTAAACCCTGTGAGAAATCCTATCGTAATCGCTGCCTTCAAGGAAGCCGCGCATGCAGTACTCGCTGTGAGAGCCCGAAACTTGCAAAATTGAGAAGGCCCGTATTTCCTTTGCTCGTTACAACTTGAGTTATTCAATTTTGACCAGGGAAGGCCTTCAACTTTTTGTGGCATTTTGTACGGAGGCTAGGAAGAGAGAGATTTGGAAGTGGTAGTCACAATTGCCGATACCGAAATCTAAATGAACCTTGAAATTACTTGTGAATAGTCTAAGATGGCAGGAAAGGCAGCTACAGGTTAAGTGCGGTGCCGAGCTGGCGGGCCTGTGTGAAGAATGAATAACATATTCGTGATCAGGACTCTCCTTCGCCCTACAGGCAAGGTTTTAGAGAAGGTTAGAAAGGCTCTGAGACCAGATTATCGCGTATCGTAGGTCTCTTGACTGGATTATCCAACCTGTTACAGTCTCTTGCGTAGAATAGTACATTTGCTTGGCATCGTTATCCTTTAATGAATGGCTCCAAAATTCTTTGGGGAATCTGCTGTAATTAAAGGATATGTGTATCGCCAAGGCTCTATGTGATTCTCAATTGACGAAGGATCCAAGGCAAGGGTCAAGATCGAATGGCTGGTCATTCGAAACGAAGGTAGGTTTTCTAAGTGGGCTCTAAAGTCATAGGATGCGATGAAAATGAATAACGATGTCAGAGGCGACATCACAATCACATGTGTGGCGTTTCTCCGGGAACGCTCTGATTCAAAATACCATCTGCAGTTCGTAAAACTCAAGGTGAAAGCTATCAGGTTGGAAAGAAAGTTCTAAACGCTCAATTCGCGCTCTTTCTGAATTCTTCTGAATGCTCTGGAATCTTCCATGGGTGGTATATAGTAGGAGGAGACTGTGCTGCGTACGTTGCTCAAATCGGCTTTCTCAATAATGGCAACTGCATCGCACTAAATAAACTTTTCCCGCGAGACACTCCGAGCGCTCATCTTGTGCGTACCTCGCCTGGAGACACCAGCTCACGAGAGGTGCTCAGAATCTGTCCAGTGATAGAATGGGCGTGATCTCTCAAGTGGCGCCTTCATTACGGCTTGAACGCTACGCAGCGGAAACTTTGATCCCTCTGACGCAACGTACGACTACTGTCCATCAAGACGTCGTCGGCGCTGTAATCGAGGATGATTCAAGACAGTCGTCACACTGTATGGTAGTGCGTCTTGAGTGCTCTCACCGCACGTTCTTTAGGCTCTTCAGGAATTAGACAAGTCTTGGAAAATGTGGTCGATGGGTACCGCACGATTTCACCAGGCTGGACATCTGCACACTTCTTGTCGCACAGTAGCAACGATATTCCGCGGCATGTGGCCATTGGCCTGGACCGTCTGCTTCAACCATATGCGAAGCAGCAGCGGTTTGGAATATGGGAAAGTGGAGTTCAATGCCTTGACCTGACAACTATGGGGGAATGGTGATGTTGTCAAACTTTCTGGAATTTTGACGGTATTTCCTCATTAAGTGGGTGTAGCGTTCAAGTGTGCAAGAGCATCTTTAGAGCATGGGCTGCTTAAGGAGGGACGATCTTAATTGATATTCGTAAGCAGCCGTGAGGCGCTAAGGAATAGGTGATGGATCAGGTGAGAAAAAAGAGCCAGCAAAATGAACGAAAAACTCACCAGATTTGCAGGAATTCAGGGAAGCTGTACCAATAGGTGGTGACTTCATTAACTGCTTCCATACTTGGACTCTGTTTACGTTTCAGCTATTCCAGAGCTTTATCAACAAAGTAGCAAATCTTATTGATTTGTTGTTTACCATGCGGTCGATTGTTCTTTTGAATTGTAAATATTTACCATTAATTTGAAGAGTTGTCTAAAAATTTGGTTGACTCGGGAATTGTCAGTAAAATAATTTTTCATTCTTTCCTTTTCTCGAATCCAACAAAAGAACCTGATTCGGTGAAGAGGGCTTCTCTTCAAAACATTTCAAAAGTTGAACAAATTCAATACGGCAGAAAAAAGCTTTTGGCCGAAGAAGCATCTGCCGAAGACTTTTTAGCAACTGTACAAACTAATATTTGACCCGCAAGTGGAGACAGATTAATTTTTACCCCTCTCTTCAAAGTTCTTCGTAACGAATCAGTTTGTAGTTGCTCTGATATCCATTTAAATTGAATGGCGCTAACGATAAGAGCGTTCTCACTCTTCTCCTCCACCGCAGAGCTAAACATCAAAAAACCATTTCGCATCATTTCGTATTGATGTGAATAAGCAGAGGCTAGAAAGTGCAGGCGTTTTTCTCAATTCTTCTGAGAAGCAGTTGAGACAAATCGAAGGATAAGTTTCGAGCAGCCTTGAAAAGCCTCATGCGCTCTTCAGCCTCTACACCAAAACGCCACGAGAAACTGTTGCTTTGCGCTAATTTTTATCAGTCCTTCTCCTAATTGTTCCATTTAGCTTTCGGGCAGCTGTCGAGCTTTTAGCAGCAGCAAGAAGAAACTCAATCTCGACTCTTTGGCAAACATAGCCTTCAGCATTTTTGATCCCACAATTCACAAGCAAGGCTTGCAGAATGTCGTGTGGGCTTGAAGGCTTGAGCTCTGCCCATGAATGAGTTTTTGGCAATATCATGCCCTTACAGCTGTTTTTTTATTTCTCAGTAAGATGACTGGATTGCTGATGCGGCGAGTTTGCTCGAGTGAGCATCTCAGGCATCGCTCTCGCGTCGAAAGATGTCCAAAACAATCTTCCAAACCGCAACAAAACTCTTCCTTTGGAGCTCCTTCTCGCATATCCTCTTATTTCCCTGTGCTCTAATGCAGCTCTTTTCACAATGCTAGCTCCTGTTCATGATCGTTTTCGTATTAGAGAGGACATTTCAGAAGCAAAACTCGGGTTAGAGGAGGGATCCGATCTTATTCAAGTACAAACTCATGTATACCAAATTACTCGGAGTGAAGATAAAATTAAAATATTAGGCTGAGTCACAAGTAATTGCCGATTTGACAAAAATTTTCAAAAGTTTACTACCATACTACCTTACTTACCACAACTGTCTAAAGGTGTCCTCTATCTATCCGCAAGTGAATGGATACCTCTCCCACAAAACTACGCAACCTTCGACGTCAAGAATCAGTGGATGTCTGTTTTGAGGTGGTCGCCATCATCGTAGTTTTTCTCGTTAAGGAAACGAGCAAGCAAGCGGAACAACTGGTGATTGGTTGCTATACCTCAGTGGATTAGAAAGAGTGGGGGAAATCATGAGGCCGAGTTTCTATATTTGTTATCAACTTCCTGAGCCAAACTGCATGTGAAAGGTTTCAATGCTTGGTCGATTCGACCAGCTCTTCAGAACGCGAACTTAGGCGCTTCTCTTCTTTCGCTACGCACATTCAGACTGCGTCACTCGAACTTTCTAGGTGGAATTGAACGCTTATGAACTTATACCGTAAGTCTTCAATCAAATGGAATGGGAAAGGATCATGTCAAATCCCATACGTCTAGTATTACCATTTGCTGATATTTCTGTACTGTAGTACATCAAAGGTCCATTGCGATCTGAGGCTTCTACAAGACAAACACCCCTAATAATCAAAAATTCAGATCACTTTGGCATAACCACAAAATTTTGGACACTGGGGCAGGGACTGAATAGCCTGTGCACTATTTTAGCTTGTATACTGGCATACTTTCAGGAAGGTCTGTGCTGTGGGCGCTGTTCTAGATCTGACAACAATCAGGCGACACCGGAATGAGTAGAGCTATCCGTGTATTTGAATCAGATTCGATCCAAGGTCTGAACCAAGAGTTTCGTGCTCGTGATGTGCAGCCACACTTGTTTTACATAACCATCCTCTGGAACGCTAATCGCATGACGTCGTAAAATATGAAAGTTGTACCTTTTCTCAGATTGTTGAGCCTAGACCGAGTGATGTCATCCACCTTCCCTCACTTCGAGGGAAAACGCCACCAAATTCCTCAACGTGAACCTCAAGGACGCATTTCTAATCCTCAGCACCTGTGTAATTACTAATATTGGATATGGAAATAGAAGAGTCTCTTTAAGCTCCAAGTACATTCCTCAGCGTCATATCTCTCGACACACGTGTGAACATCTCGTGATCGTGCTTCATATTAGCTTCATAATCACCTTAGCACCCTTACAGCTCTCAGGCTCATCCTTTGCTGACGTTCATTTTGCCTCATCACGTCAAGGCGTTTTTTTCTTCTTCCTTCGGAGCGTATTGACGAAGTTCATAATAGAATGTAATTACCTCACTTAGGCGTTCACTTTTTTTTCTAGGATTGACAATCAAATTCATGGGGGTAATTCCAACAGCGTGACAAAAATACCACTTGATTCAATTCCGATTAACTATTCACTATTGTGGGTGGTCGATAATGTCTTAGCTAATAGGTTGTTCTGGAAACTCTTGTAATTCTTGGCTCCAAACTTTGATGGATGTATCACGGCTTAAACAAATTCTCTCAGAACTTTAACACATTGCGGACCGCCGTTGTATGAGTACCTTCGTATATTTTTTATATTTTTCAAAAATGTATCATCATTAATCTATCAACAATTTTCAGTGATGACACGTATGGTTTCCCGGCTCTGAAAATGAGTGCAAACAGTTCAAGAGCATTGAAAAATGTCAAATAAATCAGATAAACTAGGCGGTTTCGTGCGAAATCGTGCGCCACATGGTGGCGCACGCAGGACGATACGAGTACGAACCTCTAGAAGTATGATTGGTAGTTTTAGCATCGTGTAGAGCATTCCTCTTTTCTAAGAGCCGTTCTCATCAAAGGAGTCACCCATATGGCTGAAGAACTCATGTGCAGGAATAAATTCGAGGAGACAGTTGCTTGCGGCAAAGTTCCATAGCTCAGCTAGTTCAGCCGTGCAAAGCTTTGATGTAAGATGAAGGAGAGCACAACTGTAGGCGCGCCCACATGTCTTTGGACTTTTTTACTTTCACCTATATTTGAGAACCCCTTCTCGGTAAACCTTATGTCGAAGGGAACTCTTGCAATCCGGCCAGAAATTGGTCTCGATTAAACCTTTAGAATAATTTGGCGCCATATAACGATGCCCATCATCACCTCTTTCTGCTATAAGGCCTGTCTTACGTTACGAAAGACATTCTGGAACACGGGGCTGCGGGGTACGTGTAGGACGGACCGATCCCACGATCTAAAAGCACCAGCTGAATTGACCCACGCAGCGCTATACCATCGCCGACATGCAAGCTTACAGCAAGTGTACAGGTGATGTCGGGATTTGTTATCGCTGTTCGGGTCAAATTCGAGTGGGAATAAGAAAATCGTGCTATGTAGGTTGTCTCTTGTGCACGATTGTATGGAGGAAAGTCACACGGCTTGAAAAGTTGGAATAGAAGTATTCGAACAATTGATCACCATTTAACAACGCAAGAAACAAACTTTCAAAGGGCGGGCGATACATTAGTGCTTCAAGAACTGTCTAACAATAAGGTATTGAGTCATAAAAAATTGCAAGAGCTTTTTGAACGACCTAAGATAGGTATGCATTTGGATTGGACCATAAGTGTATCATGAATCCTTCAAGCAGCTATCGTAGTAGTAACATGTATTGATATAGTGTATTTTTTGTCATTTTATAATAGTGATAGTTTGGTTAGCTCTGAATGCGGAAGGATGTGAGTTCGATTCTTTTCTGGGGCAAGATGTTTTGTTCATGACCCTGCATTCTTGTAAAGTAATAACGCAGTTAAGTAAATAGAGAACAAACTGCGCAATTACACCTTGTCCAAAGCAAAAAAGCATTCAACTTTGGGGATGCGCCACGAATTCTTATTCTATTTAAAATTGACGCGCATTTAAATGCGACATAGTCTGTATGTATAATGTGCCGTCTTCTTCTTCTCTCTAGCAATCGCAGGGTCCGTTGCCTTTGTCAGTCGTCGCCACTTTGCTCTGTCCAGGGCATCTTCTACCGTGGCCGCGACCTCACTTAGGTCAAAGAAGAAGAAGATGAGAGAAAGTAAAGAGATTTTTCAAGCAGTATGCAGAAATGTATCACTAATAATTCAAAAATTATTCCAGTTTTCTGAGTTGTACTTATTTCTTTCCAAAGCGTGGACGGAAACTTTCCTCTCGCAGCATATGTATATGTTCACTTCCAACCTTGCAGAGCACATAAAGTGACGAATATTGTCCGCTTCATGCATTTTCTATAAAAGCACTGCCATTAGCACTCGTAACTCGAAATTAGACGGGCCCTACTGCACCTTCGATTAATTTTTACTTTGCAAATACAATTTTCGTTTCAAGAATTTTGCTTAACAGTAAGTTAGTACGCTGAATGATTTTTGCACATCTCGTACTATTTGAATGAATTGAATTTGAACCTTCTTTGGACCTAACATTTCGTACAGCCAAGTGAACAATTGCATTGTTGAAAAAGTGGTTCCGTCCTGGTATGGACTCACGTATGCTCCCATTGTGAACACAGATATGTGAAATATGCATGATCTCCTGGGAATTGATATTTTAGAGC